CAGTCATATTCCTGGCCCCCCACCCACCCACCCACCCTGCCAATGCCTTCCCAGGCATCTTCATCTTTCTCACTAAGTGTGTCACACAACTCTCACGTTCTACCAAGCAGCAAAACCCTCCCAGCAGCCCTGAGGCATAGTCTTCCCCCTCCTGAAATCAAATTTAAGGATCTCTCCAACTATTTCCACAGTTTCTATCTGCACTGAGCTTGTTCCTCAAGGCATCTATGAAACACTCTCACCCCTCAATCTGGACACAGTCATAAACCTTTGCACCCCCACCCTTTTTTTGTGTGGTTCCGGGAATTGAACTGAGGACCTTGCACTTGCAAGGCAGGTAAGGTGCCACTGAGCTAAATCCTGGCCCCTGCTCTGACTTTCTCACATGTCAATCTCATCACGAAGACTCCAGAGGGTACCAAACGCAAAAGCCAGATCCTACATTTCTTTTTTTTTATTGTTATTTTTTGGTACCGGGGATCAAACTAAGGTCCTTGCTCTTGCAGGAAAGCAGAACCACTGAGCCAAATCCCTGGCCCCCGGATCCTACATTTCTTTAATGTTGTGCCACTGATTCTCACCTCTTTCTTGCGTCCTCAGTTGGACTTCACAGACTCACAGAAAGTTATTTTCTGAAAAAATTTTAGGGATGATTTACTCTAAGCTCCACATCTGAAATGAACTAGATGAGACTCACTAACTTTTCATAGCCTAATCAGTCAGGCAGATCTGAGTTCAAATCCCCCTCTGGCGCATTTGAGTTAGCCTGTTTTATCTACTACAGAACGTAAAATGCCTCCTTAGGAAACTGCTATAAGCATCAAACTACACACACACATTTACACTTTCCCTCATGCTTGGGGAGATCCTTTTTAAGACAAGCTTTTTTTTAAAATTTTCTCCCTGGTTAATATCACATTTCCTTGCAAGCCCCCAAAGTAGGGCCTTTTCCTACTGTATTTTCAAACCTTATGGTTAATGTGCCAGTACAGCTCACAGCAGCTTTCATAAACCATGTGAAAGATGTATTCAACTTCCTTTATCAGTAGTTCATCAAATATATTATTCTCCACAGCCAGGTGGGGTAGGGCATGCCTGTAATCCCAGCACTCTAGAAGGCTGAGGCAGGAGAATCCCAAGTTCCAGCCCAGGCAACTCAGCAAAATTGAAAAAGAAAAGGAGGGGGGTGTGCAATATAGATCAGTGCAAAGGCCCTTGGGTCCATTCACTGTACAAAAACAAGCAGAACAAAAAAACAAACTCCCTACCTGCTCCTCTCTCACCCACACAATCTTCTCTTTAGCACTAAAAGCTAGAAAAAAGAAACACTGCCACTCTCAAACTTTGGGAATAAAGTTAGTATCTTTACCAGAACATTCAGGCAAACTGTGACAGATGGAAAGACAGGATTTGGAGGGTTTCTGCCTCTCAGGAGAGCTTGCTTATAATTTGTGGCACCAACTTCTTCCATGCAATGAGCTGTCTATAATAAATTCTGGCAGAAAGTAAACCAGAAACTCACCGGCATGTTGTCAGCAAAGTTAAATATTGCACTTCACTCTGGTTTATGCAAGCAAACAGTGACTAGTAGGATTAACTTGAGCTCAATACTTGGTGTAGATACCCTTCAACAAGAAACAGACACCATGAGCACTGGTAGGAAATATAAGAAAGGGGTTATGCATTTTGCTAGTGGAAACATATTTGAGCAGAAAAACATTTGCCAGATCAAAAGTGTTCTTTCTTTCCTTTCGCTGGGGTCATTCATAAAAGCCAGATAAAAGCGGGAGGGAGAATAAGACCGCGGACTCCCAAAGGCAGATTCCCGCTAAGCTGAAGTTGGTTCTTTCAAGGAATATTTTTCCTAACAGCTATACACAATCAGCATCTTGTATCAATTACACAAATCCCGGCTAAGCCACCCTGGTGCCCTGGGAAAAGAATCGCAAAATACAGAAAATCCCTGCTGTCTTCAGCTGTCCCCTCTTGCAAGGCTTGACAGCGCTTCGGAGGCGCCCGAACACCGGCCACCTGGCTCCCCCCAGTGCTTTCCCGCACCAAACCGCCAGGGCGCTCGGGCCAAATTCCAAAGTCCCTCAATTCAAAACCGCGAAAATGTGAACCCTGCTAAGCAAACTGTAGGGAGCGTCAAAACTTTTCTTTCTTTCCCTTGTGCGCACATTTGAGATGCTAGACTTTACAGCGCTCCGCGCCACCCACCCAGAGGGGCCGCGGGGAAAGGAGGTGCGGACCGAAGGGAAGTCTGATTTTGTTTCGCCTTTATAAGCAGTTTTCCTACTACGGGAAACTGAGCACCCACCAGCCCGATCAGAGTTAGACGCAGACCGAAAGAAGGCGGCTCCTCTTCTTGCACCCCATTCCTACTTAAAAGGAATAACAAAATCCTGCACCCGGCGTGCAGCTGGAGATCGGGGTCCTGCCGGGGAGACCAGGCCCGCCCAGCCGGCCGTCGGGGGAA